TTTTAAAACAGACACTTCTAAAGACTTTCCCGGGCAGGATCGCGCGTGAGACGGACAGGTTTGGCCCAACGAGCTGTTACGTTCCAGCGGGCCGTTCGTCAGCAAACGAGACGTACCCGGTAACCACAAAAAGAGCTGAGACCCGACCGAGTTGTACGCCGGAGGGTGTTTTTTTTCCCCCCCCACCGCTTTCCTTTAACGCTCCGCAGCGCGCTTCCAGGCCCCGTGGTACGCGCGAGGGTGGATTTGCGCCAACCGGCCTCCGAGACGATCGCCTCGACCTACGGAAAGAGTTAAGGCGTGGAGGTAGTTCGGATTTCAAAACAAACAACCCAAGGAAACCGCGGCGCGAGCGGCCTTTGAATTTCCCGGCCTTCGTGGGGTTTTGAATCGCCACGACCCCCCCCGCCCCGGATGGGCTTTCGAGGTGCGCTCGGGTTGCTCCCGTCCGCCGCCAGGAGCCCAAAAGCTTTTGTCTGCGTTCGAACCACATTGGGGAAGCTGCTCGATTGCTCCTGCTATTAATTCCCCGGCCGCTGGCGTCAGAAAGCCGGAGCTTTAGGGCTCGTAGCTGCCTCCGGCTTATTGGTAGCGTTGCACAAAGCGCCGTCGTCCGCAGTTGCGCTGCTTCCCCGGTTTCGGATATTGGGGGGGTAGAAAATCCCCTTTCTTTCATTCCCTTTTTTTTTTTTTTTCTTCTCCCCTCCTTCTCTGGGTGTGCTGCCAGCTTCTTGAGAGGGAAAACCAAACCGAACGGCCAAAAAAGAAAAAAAAAAAAAGTGTGTTGAGAATTGCTCCGAGCTACGTTGGTCCCTTTTCCTCCTTCCTGGTCCTCCCGGGTAATCTCTCTCGGCCTGAATTTCCCTGGGAGGATATTTCAGCGCGTAAATGAGTAACTCCTGACTCAGGGTTTTAGGAACGAAACGAAAGCAAACTGCCTGCTCGCCTGCCTGCAGGTTAGCTGTGTCCCTGGGGAAAGGGCGATTTTGGGGACAGAGACCGGCTTTTCCTCCCGTCCCCCCGTCCCGGCGGAGGAGAAACGACTCTTTATGAAACTGGGCTCCGCGTTTGATCGCGCTCGGAGCGAGGGGCCGCCGCAGGAGCACCCACGTCCTCCCCGGGGTTTTAGCCGTAGGCGCCGACGCGAGTGAGAGCTTTAACAGAATATACGTGAAACCGTTTCTGTATCTTATTTTTTTTTAGGTCCGAATCCAGGGTTCGGTTACTTCCGTGAGAGGCGATCACCTTGACGCCGAGCCCGTCGCTTTGCTTTCCGAGCGCCTGCTAGTACGTAGAGATAACGCTGGGAAAACTAGTAAACTCGAGTGATTCTGGCCAGCGAGAGTTAGCTTGTGCGCTTCCCCCATCGCTTTTAAAAGCTCTTTTGGGCTTGTTTTATTTCTGAAGCCTTACAGGTCTGGCTTAGGTGATGAAAATCCGACTTTTTTGAAAGGTATCAGGCAGGAGGAGCAGGCAGAAATTATCCTCCAGCGATTTACCGGCGCTTCTGACCGTCCCGTAGCCTGTGCTGTGATTTTTTTTTTCCCTTTCCTCCTCTTATCACCACCTAATTTATCTAATTTTGATACGGAAGCCCCATTTGCGGCGCGTTTGGATCTATCGCTCGCTCCCGGGGCTCTCTGCCAACGTAAGAAATGCTTGCGAAAATAAACACTAGCGGGATGAAGGCGGCGGGGTGCGATTTAAGGAAGTACTTGAGAAACTGCCTCCGCTGGAAGCCGCTTTTGCTCTCCAAACTCCTTCGGGGAAGCGCTTTTATGACCGGCTTCTGCGGGCTTCACTGATTTTCCCCCCATGGAAAAGGGGGAGAGCGGGGAAAAAAAGGTCACTTTTATGCAAGGCGGAGGCGAACAGAAAACCTGTCCGCCTCTGCGATCCGTAACGACGATGCTGCGGTCCTCTCCCCGCGCTTCGTTTGAGCCTCGCTTTTATTAGCGGATCGCGCATGTTTAATTGAATTGACTTAATCCGGGCTGCACACCGAAGGCCCCGCTCTCAGGCTCGCCCCGTTTCGGGTTGTTTTCCCGTCGTTTTGGCCCCTCACGCGACGCTTTCATCCCTCCTGGCTGGAACCGGAATCCCGCCGAGGGCTGGGCGAGCGCGGCGCGAGGAGGCGTTGCCGCAGGCTCGCCCGCCTGCCCCTCTGCCAAAGCGTTGGCCCATCTGTTGCTCGAGATTAAACCTTTTCGGCTCCAGATGGTTCCAAGCTTCAATCCGTCTTTCCAAAGATACGGATGACCCATTTCGGAGCTTTTCGCCGCTCGGGCCGTCGGCGCACGGCGAGAAAGTTTACAGCTCGCCCGAAATCCTTTCTTCGGGGCCGGGCGTTTGGCCGACCGCGGCGGCGCTCCTTGGAAAAAGGGCTCTTTTCCCGTAGCGCGGAATTGTTCCCCTGGAAAACGCCGTCGTTTCCTTTATCAGAGCTAAATATCTTGCGTTTTCATGTGTCTTAGCTATGCCGTATACGCCGGCATCCGGGTTCGAGCCCTGTTTTGGCCTTCGGCCGACACCTCTCAGAGCAACTCTCCAAATTCCGGGGGAAAAAAACCCCGTTTTCGTTAAGAGCTTGTCCCTCTGCTGCAGCTTGGCGCCGGGAAGGCCTTTCCTTGGGGAAAGCGGCGCGTTCGTTTTGATCCGCGGAGCGGTTCCGGCTATCGGCTGGCTGCGGGGAACGGCATTATCCGCTGCTTCCCCCGACTTCAAAACGCCGGGAGCGTTTAGCGCCGGGTGTTCGGCCCCGTCGACGGGATCGAGCGCTTTCCGAGCTCGTCGGCCTCGTATTTTTGTGGCTGTCTGGTGGGACTCTGTCTGGTGGCACTTGAGAGGCGTTTCCGGCCTGCTGGGTTTGTCAATACCTTCTCCGGTTCAGCGCGCTCCCGGGACTCTCTTTCCGAAGCGGTTTTGCACAAAATTCGGCTGCGCGCGCGTCCCGCGGACCTGTTCTCGCCCGACCGTAGCTGAAACTACGACTTCGACTGCCAGGACGGCTCCCAGGGGAGACGCGTAAGCCAGAAGCTGATGTTTTTTTCTTTTTATAATCGCTTCCCCCCCCCGCGTATTTCCTCAGAGAAGGTTTTCCGCCGGGCAGGGTTTGGGTGGCTGCCGGGAGAGAGGTGACATGTCGCCTGCCGCTTGTTTATTTATTATTATTATTTTTTTCCCCCCCCGCA